AGCACTCCTTCCACGGGTACCGACTGATTGTTGAACCCGTAGATGGGCCCGTCATACTTTTGCAGGAGGGCAGGGTCGAGTCCGAGGCTCTCAAAGCAATGGTAAAACATTATATCTGGAGCACTGCCGGTGTCAATGAGCGCTCGCTGGACCTCACAGTTGTTAATGATGACCGAGGTGACCAATGGGTCACTGTGGGGAACGACGACTCCCTCGAGGTCAGCCGGAGTGAATGTCACAGACTGGTTTTTCCAATCCTCCTCGTCAATTTTTCTTTTCTGAGCTGTATTGTGGTGCTTGACTTCCCTCACATACAGCTTCTGCTGTTTGGAGCTTGTGCCTCCTGCTTCGAGCCTGCCAGTTATCATGTGGATGACCCTGGATGGGGGTGGGAGAGGTGGCGGTGCTTGTTGATACCCCACCCCATCTTTGTTGTTTGCTGCTCGGGACCCTTGGGCCTGTCCCTGTTCTTTGACAAACTTTGGTAAACTTCTGTTCTGAATGTATTCATTCAGCATCCCTTTCGGGGCCAAACTTTCCAGCTCGGACTTCAAACTATGGCAATCTTCCGTGGTATGTCCGTGATCTTGGTGAAAGTCACAGTATCTGGTGTGGTCTCTGCTTACCGCTGGGCTCTGTAGAGGGGCTGGTCTCCTCAGCTCCATCTTATTCTTGATTTACATGAGAATTTGCGACCTCGGTATTGTGAAGGAGGTCCATGAGGGTGGCCTAGGCCACGTTTGCGGGGCGCTGGAGCCGGGCCTGTCTAGCTTGGGAACCGGCATTGGGCCTCGGTTCTGTGTGGGTTTGAACTTCTTTCTGCTCTGGCCTTCTTCTCTCCAAGCGAGGGTTCTAGCTTCTTTGGGGGGTTGGGGTTTGGAGAGGACGTTTTCCTCGGCCTTAATGAACTTGAGGGATCTCTGATTGACCTCGTCAAAGTGGTTGGGGTGTGCTTGATTAAGTTATCTCGAAACCGATCATGGTTGAGGCCTTGTATCACGGCAGTTATTCCCACTGCTTCGTCGAAGGCGTTGACCTCCAACATGGCATCATTGAACCTGTTCATGTAGTTCTTCAAGGATTCACCATCTCTTTGTGTTATCCACATGAGCTCGGGTGTCGTCTTTTTTATCAACCTTCTGCTTGAGAATTTGGTGGCAAAGGAGGTGGCCAGCTCGGCATATGCATTAATCGAGTTCGGACGCAGGGTGTGATACCAGGTCCGGGCATTGCCGCGCAATGTGGAGGGGAACATCTTGCACATGAGTGCGTCTGAGGCGTTTTGAGCCTGCATGATGGAGAAAAATGCATGTAAGTGGTCATCAGGGTCTTTAGTGCCATCATAAGTTTCGAACTGTGGCATCCTGAAACCGGGTGGATATGGCTCTTGGGTAATTTTGGTATTGAGAGGAGTGGGGATGGAGGCTGATATAGGTGGGGTCTGTGGCTGTGGGTTTTTGTTCTCGGCTAACAGCTTTTCTATGTTGTCTAGCCTCTTTGAGACATCTGAGGCAGTTGGTTGAGGCGGGTTTTGGGGCTGGGGTGGTATATGGGATTGTGCTTGGGAAGCAGGAGTTAGCAGGCTGTTGGGCTGGTTGGGGGGCCGCGGGAGGAGCTGGGTTTAGCAAGTGGATGAGTGGGTCAGCAGGGTTATCTCTGGCTAACAGTTGGGCGAGCACTAGCTGGAAGACCCCGAATTGTTGTTGCATGGCGCTGAGTTGAACAATTACAGGGTCGTTTGCCACGGCGTTGGGATATTGTGGATTATGTTCCCCAACTCCCTCCACCTACTAATGTTGGGCAACTGCAATTGGTGCATTCTATGACACGAAGTTGACACTTGAGGGCTGGCCTCTTTTTTGGCCTCGAGGAGGACTCTCGTGCTAGGTTGCTCGTGTGTGTACCATCTTAACTTCTGGTGATGACTTTTGTTCGGGTTCCCACAGACGGCGCCAATGTAGTTGCTGAATATCCTTAAGTTCCTGCTTTGAGTTGATCCTTCTCCAAATGGTCCTGCAAAATCCCGAGGTTGGTCCTCGGGGAGAAACTCCGATGCTTAAGTCAGTATTTTTCCAATCATGTTTTTCTTTTTGTTCCGCCTATTTATCGAACCTTACCTTGCG